CGTTCCAGGGGTCCTCAAACTTTTTAAACAGGGGGCCAGTTCACTATCCCTCAGACAGTTGGAGGGCTGGACTGCGGGCCCCAGGACGAGTCGGCTGCTAAGCAGGACAGGCAGCGGTGGCAAAAACACCCAACAGTCTGGATAAATGTCCTTGGCAGGCTGCATGTGGCCTGTGAGCCGTAGTTTGAGGACGTCTGTTTGGTGATATGGAAGGGATTTAGCGGTTTAAAAGCTTTCTACAGAGTGTCGTGAGAGCCAGGCTCCTGTCACACTCACTACCTGGAAATAACTCTATATATCTGAAAAGGTCTCTCTTGATTTATCTACAAAAAGTGCCATATTACTTTTTTTTTTTTTTTTTGAGGTAGGGTCCTAGCAGTCTGGGAGGCCAAGGCGGGTAGATCACTTGAGCTCAGGAGTTCGAGACCAGCCTGAGGAAGAGCGAGACCCTGTCTCTACCCCCCTCCCCCCCAAAAACCAAACAAACTAGTGGGGCATTGTTGTAGAAGGCTGAGGCAAGGGGATTGCTTAAGCCCAATAGTTTGAGATTGCTGTGAGCTATGATACTACAGCACTCCATTCAGGGCAATAGAGACTCTGTCTCAAACAAATTAAAAAAGCATAATTATTGTGTACATTTTCTCTTTCATTTTTTCTCATTACCATCTTATTTTATATATTTATATGTAGGGAGCATTTTATTAGGAAAAATTTCAAAGATACAGAAAAATGAACACCTGTATACTCACTATATAGATTTTAAATTGCTGTATTTGTTTTTCTGGAAGCATTTACAAATAGGTTACTTCAGGACGTTTTACTCTGAAATTCTTCAACATGCGTTTCTTTTCTTTTTTTCTTTCTTTCTTTCCTTTCTTTTTTTTTGAGACAGAATCTAGCTTTGGTGTCCCCGAGTAGAGTGCCATGACGTTATAGCTCACAATAACCTCAATCTCTTGGGTTCAAGTGATCCTCTTGCCTCAGCCTCCTGAGTTGCTGGAACTGCAGCAACATCCCACTAATTATCCCGTTTTTAGTAGAGAAGGGGTCCCCCTCTTGTTGAGGCTGGTCTAGAACTCCTGAGCTCAAGCAATCCACCTGCCTCAGCCTCCCAGAGTGCTAGGATTATAGGTGTGAGCCACTGTGCCCAAATAGCATTTCCAAAAAATAAGGACACTCTCCGGGTCAGACACGGTGGCTCATGTGTGTAATACTAGTACTCTGGGTAACTGAGTCAGAGCATTGCTTGAGCTCACAAGTTTGAAACCAACCTGAGCAAGAATAAGACCCTGCCTCTACCAAAAAAAAAAAAAAGCCCACTGTTGTCCAAGCTACTCTTTTGGCCGAGGCAAGATGATTGCTTAAGCCCAAGAATTTGAGGTTGCTGTGAGCTATGACACTAGGGCACTCTACCCAGGGTGACACAGTGAGACTCTGACTCAAAAGTTAGGGAAAAAAAAAAGGACACTTTCCCACAGCCACAATACTATTATCATGTCCAACAAAATTAAACATTAATATTATTTAAAATCCAGGTCATGGTGGTGCCTGTGGCTTAAAAGGGTAAGGCACCGGCCCCATATGCCGAAGGTGGCGGGTTCAAACCCAGCGCCGGCCAAGAACTGCAAAAATAAAACAAAATCCAGGTCATATTCAAATGTTCCCTTTTTTTTTTTTTTGCAGTTTTTGGCCAGGGCTGGGTTTGAACCCACCACCTCCGGCATATGGGGCTGGCTCCCTACTCATTTGAGCCACAGGTGCTGCCCAAATGTTTCCATTTTTTTAATAGACAAAATATATCTTTTATAATTTGTTTGTTCAGATCAAAGATCAGATTTTGCATCCTGTTGTATTTTTCTCCTTACAGCTCTACTAACCTAGAATTAATCTTTCCGTCCCAACAGTGGCTTTATATAGAAACTGGATCAGTTGTCCTTTAGTTTCCAATGTCCTATACCTTTTGGAATTGTCTGATTATTTCCTTGTGGTCTCTTTCATTTGTTTGTCTGGCTCCTTATGTCCTGTGAGCTGAACTGCAGACCTGAAGGTTTGCTTTGTTCCCTAATAAGCATGTTTGGTCATAATACTTATTAGGTGATGGAGACACATTATGCCCGGCTATGTTGCTCCTGGTAACGTTTCACTTGGTCACTGGGTCCAGGTGGTGACAGCTGGATGTCTTCATTTTAAAGTGACATTGGTTTGAGATTTTCAGTCTGAGAGCCGAGTGATAAAAAGTCTACGTTCTCAGTGACCTAAGATGGAAAGCCACATGTCTAAACTTGTTGGCCCAAGTTTCTTGCATTCAGAAGAGGTCAACTCTGCTGACCATTGTCAATCATTTTCTCAAAAGACCCACCTAACTTAGGGTTTATTGTCCCTTTCAGGGTTATTTTAGGGACACGGTGATGTACTATGGCTTTTACACCAATTCCACCATCCGGCATGGGGCCAGTGGGGCCTCCTACAACATGCAGCTGGCCTATATCTTCACAATTGGAGTTTGCCTGGTCATCTGCTTTTTCAGTTTGCTCTTCAGGTACAGAGTGTCTGCATTTCCTGATTCTGAGGCTTATTTTAGAGTTAGGCAAAAGCCCAAGGAACTCAAATCGTAGCTGGGAAATAATTTCTCTGCAATCTTGGCTTTCTAGTCCTTGTCCTGCAATGTAAAATATGAGTTTAGAAGAGAGGTTTTTGTGTGCTTTTAAAGAAATTTCTCAGTCTGAAAATATAGATGTGATGACCCAAGCAATGATGTAGACAGAAGAATAGGATGGGCAATGTCAGACGGGAGGTCCACATGGAAAATACACATGCTGGCTGGGCACCTGTCGCTCAGTGGTTAGGGTGCCAGCCACATGCACCGGGGCTGGTGTGTTCAAATCCAGCTGGGGCCTGCCAAACAAACAAACAAACAAATTAGCCAGGCATTGTGGTGGGTGCCTGTAGTCCCAGCTAATCAAGGAGGCTGAGGCAAGAGAATCACTTAAGCCCAAGAGTTGCTTGGTGCCTGTAGCTCAAGCGACTGGGTGCCAGCCCCATAAACCGGAGTTGGCAGGTATGAATTGAGCCCAGGCCTGCAGAACAATGACAACTGCAACTGAAAAATAGCCCGGTGTTGTGGCAGGCACCTGTAGTCTCAGCTATTTGGGAGGCTGAGGCAAGAGTGGGCCAAGAGTGTGAGGTTGCTGTGAGCTGTGATGCCACGACACTCTACCAAGGGTGACATAGTGGAACTCTGTCTAAACAAACAAACAAAAGGAAAATACACAAACAACTACAAAAACGTTCAACCTCCATATTAGTTTGCTAGGGCTCAAGGAACCACAGGCTGGGTGGCTTAAACCACAGAAATGTATTTACTCACAGTTCTGGAGGCCAGAAGGTCCCAGATCTGGGTGTGAGCAGGGTTGTTTTCTCTCGGGCCTCTCTTCTTGGCTCATAGATGGCCCCCTTTCTTCCTTGTGTCTTTACATGATCTTCCCTTGGCATGTGTCTGTGCCCTAATGGATTAAGACCCACTCTAATGACCTCATGTTTAACTTACAGACCTGTCTCCAAACACAGTTATATTCTGAGGTACGGGGGGGGTTAAGGTTTTTCACATATGGATTGGTGGTGGGGAGGACACAATTCAGCCATAACCACCTCACTTCCAGGACACTAATTCAAAGTAAAATGAGATTTTGTCCCATTCTATCCAACTAGGAAATGTTTCTCAAACAACTGTTACTGAGTGGCAGCAGATTTCAGAACTGCAGTATCCACTTTTTCCAGCATTTATTTTGTGCCAGGCTTGCGCTAAGTGCTTGCTGGGCCTGAGATATCCCATAATAATAACAGCTACCTTGATCAAGAGCTTGCTGTTCTAAGTGCTCAAATGACTTGTGGAAGGCTCAATAATCTGCCTCCACCCCCCAAAATGTCCTTGGCTTAATTTCTGAAACTTGTGATTATGTCATTTTACATGGCAAAAAGATGCTACAGACGTGATTAAGTATCTTAAAATGGGGAGACTATCCAGATGGTCCCAGTGAACTCACAAGAGTCCTTACAAAAGGAGACAAGAGGTCAGAGAGAGAGATGGAAAGAGACTATTCTGGCTGGCTTTGAGGATGGAGGAGGCGGCCACAAGCCAAGGAATAAGGATGGCTTCTAAGAAGCCAGAAAGGTCAAAGAAATGGACTCATCTCTAGACCCACCAGAAGGAACACGCCCTGCCAATACTTCCTTTTAGGTCTGTAAGACGTATTTTCTGACTTCTGACTTCTGACTTCCAGAAGTGTAAGATACATTTGTGTTGTTTTAAGCCACTGAGCTGGGAGTAATTTGTTACTCCAGCTAATTTGTTATAGCAGAAAACTATAAACTAAAAACTATTAGAAAACTAACACAATTTTTATAACGACTCTGAGAGGTTGGTACTATTGTTATTGCCAGATGGGGTAAACTGAGGCTCAGAACACCCAATAGAACAAAGATCCCTCAGTTGGCAAATCCAGGATGCCAAGCCAGTCATGTCTGATCCTGAAGCCAGGGCTGGCCCTTAACCATTACACTTGTGACCACACCTTCCAGACCAGATGAAGAGCTTGGGGCTGACCCTTTCATGTTACCTTTCACCATTAATGATAGGACTGTTCTTTGTTTAATCCCCACACTCCCTGACACCTGCCATAATAACTCTTGGTTTGGTTTCTGCCTTCCCTAGCATGGCCAAGTATTTTCGGAACAACTTTATTAATCCCCACATTTACTCCAGAGGGATCGCAAAACTTATTTTTTGCTGGGATTTCACTGTCACTCATGAAAATGCTGTGAAACTAAAACAGAAGAATCTCAGCACTGAGATAAGGGTAAGGCAAGCTCACTCTACCCTCTTCCTTTGACCAGTATCCTTCCCTTCTCCAGTATGACTGTAACTTTTCTGCACATAATAATGGGTTATTGTACAGACCTGAAATATGTTCAATAGCTATGAAAAAATGAATTATTGTTTTATTGCCCATGAGATTTACAAAATTTAAAATATTTGTTATGCCTAGTTCTGGTGATGGTGTAGGGAAATGAACATTTTCACATGACAAGGTGGGTTTCTAATTGGTGCAACCTTTCTGGAGACTGATTTAGTGATTTATATCAAGCTGTTAAATGTACATGCTTCTTGCCTTCACAAGTTCCACACTTAAAATTTTACTCTAGGCCAGGCCTAATAGTATAATCCCAGCACTTTGGAAAGCTGAGGTGGGAAGATCACTTAAAGCCAAGAGTTGGAGACCAACCTGGGAAATTTAGCCAGGCCCTGTTTCTAAAAAAAAAAATTACGAAATTAGCCAGGGACTGGGTGCAGTGGCTCACGCTTGTAATTTTAGCATTCTAGGAGCCCAAGGCAGGTGGATTGCTTGAGCTCAGGAGTTTGAGTCCAGCCTAAGCAAGAGTGAGACCCCATCTCTACTAAAAATAGAAAAAACTAGTCAGGCATTGCAGTGGGCACCAGTGGTCTCCCCTACTCAGGAGGCTCAGGCAAGGGGATCTGTTGAGCCCAAGAGTTTGAGGTTGCTATGAGCTGTGTTGACGCCATGGCACTCAACCCAGGGCACAGAATAAGATTCTATCTCAGAAAAAAAAAGAGGCTAAGCACCTATAGCTCAAGCAGCTAGGGCGCCAGCCACATACACCAGAGCTGGTGGATTAAAATCTAGCCCAGGCCTGCCAAACAACAATGCCCACAAAATGGCTGGGCATTGTGGCAGGTGTCTGTAGTCCCAGCTACTTGAGAGGCTGAGGCAAGAGATTTGCTTAAACCTAGGAGTTGCAGGTTGCTGTGAGCAGTGATGCTGTGGCGCTGTACCCAGGGTGACAGCTTGAGCCTCTGTCTCAAAAAAAGAGAAATAAAAAAAATTTTTAAAGTAGGCTTGGCGCCTGTGGCTCAACTGGGTAAGGCGCCAGCCACATACACCTAAGGTGGTGGGTTCAAATCCAGCCTGGGCCTGCCAAACAACAA